AGTTGTAATGTGACGGTCAATCCCACTATTCGTTGGTAAAAGAGTAGCCCAAGAGTTGGCGATGGGTGGTAATGACTAGCTGCCTTCCCTCTAGTCTTTCACTGCTAAATTAGGGACGGCTAGCGCAGATAGCCAGCGCGAAATTCAAAAACAAACAATAATAAATACTGCTAACAGGTTGTAAACGAATGCAAATATGTATAGGTTTAATTGTCTAGCTTAATTGCTTATAAATCAACAATCAATTCAAAAAATTATCAATGTTCAAGAAATACTCTAAAACTCAATACAATTACAAGATTTCAATGTAATATTATAATACGCATTACTAACGGCTCCTGAAACTAGATAAAGGATGCATTAATTCAGAAATTATTTCTACAAAATATCCTGTTACTACATACTTCTATATGACCATTATTAGTGACTGCATCACATTATAGTCTTGGTGGTTCTCGTGTCCAACGTTTTATCATGTAGTTGTAGCGTTTGTTTGTAGTTATGCACAAAGCTACACAATGGGCTATCTGTGCTCTGCCCACCACAGGTATCGAAACTCTGTTTCTAGCCTTGTAAGTCCGCAGACATACCGCTGTGCCACTGGGGGGCAGTTGTAGCGTTACTAACCATGTTTTTTTTTCAATCTTCGTAAGCGCTCATGTTGATTTTCGTGATAATACATTGTTCTAAAAGTTTTATTTGATCAGGTCCGCCGATAAGGGGGGGGGGGCAACTGCCCAGGGGCCCGAGCGAATGAAACCTGGTAATGCCGTAAAGCCCGCAAAGCATCTTTAGGCTATATCTTCATTTAATGATAAAAAAAACATAGTTTTTGGCTTTTCTTTGCATTAATACGCTTGATACATTAAGAACGACTGAAATAATAATTTGAGTAATAATTAATATGTATTTGTTACTTTATAGATTTAATAGATATTTGTTGTTACTTTATTAACGTTTTTACGCTTATACTGTGAGGAGAAAACGGCTGCTGCTATGATTTTGTCTGGTTTATGAGCTCATTACTGTTGAAA